CCATCAAACTCTATATAAATGAGTGAGGATGACTGTGATAACAAAGGGGATGAAGATGACATGCTGCTGAAGAGGAAGGGGCCAGGCAAAGTCATGGTGGCAGCTTGCTGTCTCCAGACACACCTTTTCCTGTGCTCCGGGAAGGCTGCATGTGTGTCTGACATCCATGTCTATCTCTAAGTATAGTTGGAAGGACAAGAAAAAGAAATAGATGGATTAAATGAGCAGATAGCAGTTTTCAATCATTGTAAACTAATTGATCTACTACTTAACCAATCTGATCAACCCTTGAGAACTCAGTTTTTTATAATAGCTAAAAAAATCCAGACCACATAGTGTTTGTGTAAACACAGTCTAGGTCTTACCAGCCTCTCCAGCAACCTAATTTTTCTTTTCTTAAAGTAAAACCAAATCAATACCATCTTGAGTGGCTCAACCTAAAGGTAAGAATTCTATTCACTGCCTATTAAAGCCCATACAAATATTGCAGACACTGACTTTTTCAGGCTAAATTCAGACTGAGGCAAGGCTGTGAGGGCCAGGAAAAGTAGTTATGTTATTTATTTAAGGTTCTGTGAGATCTATAGAGAGCTTTATTCCAGCTCTTCCACTCACTAGCTATGTGGCCTTAGGATGCTTAAAGGCAGTTGTGATACAGTGGTTAATGTGTTAAAGTTGGTGTCAGGACACCTGAGTTCAAATCATACTTTGGACACTTGTGAGGTATATGACCTAGGAAAAATCATACCTTCATTTCCTCAGGATGTGCTCTGTCTCTGTCTCTGTCTCTCTCTTTTGGGGTGGGTGGTATCTAGATCTGTGATTGCAGTGAATTACTTTTGTAGAAATTCTGTCCACAAATGCAGATAGGTAAGGCCAGTGTAACTGCCTTATAGTGTTGCCTAGGGCTCTTGAAAGTTAAATTATTTTCCCAAGGTCAAACAGCTGAAATCTGTCAGAGGCCAGCAGAAAGTTAAGTATGGCAGGGTAAATATGGCTTTGCCCTTGGGTCCTGAAATTTAGAGAGCATGGATAGTATTTGTAGTCCAGTAGCCTAGAAACACTTGAGCTTTGCATTTAGTTAGCATGAGTAATTAGTGAAAATACCAAGCATGTCTCAAAAGATAAGAAGAAACAATTCTCAAAAGAATTACAAACAAGATATGAAAGAATTCTTCAAATCATGGAGAACAAGAGAAATGCAAATAAATACAATCCTGAGATTTTACCTATCCCTCAGGAAATTGACAAAGATGATAAAAGATAGCAGCCATTATTGGAAGAGGAGCAGAAAGATCAGCACACTAATGCATTGTTGGTAGAGCTGTGAATTGGTTCAATTGTTCAGTAAGGCAGTTTGCAACTATGTGAAGTGAGTGACTACCACGGAGTGAGTCCATACCCTCTGACCCAGAGACTCCACCATTAGACATATACCTCAAAGAGGTCAATGACAAAAAGGAAGGCCCTTTATGCCGCAAAAATATTTATGCCAGTACTTTTGTAGTAGCAAAGAACTGGAAACAAAGTAGATGCCTATCAAATGAGGAACAGATAGGAAATTATGGTATGTGAATGTTATAAAATAAAAAGATGAACATGATGAATGCAGTGAGACATGGAAAGACTTACATGACCTGATCATACAAAGTGAAGCAAAAGAGAACCAAGGAAAACAGTATACAATAGCTGTGACAACGTAAATGGCAACAACAGTAATAAATCAAAACCAAATGCTATGAAATTATGATGACCAAGAGTGGCCCCCAAGAAGAGATATGAGAAGTTGCCTCTGAATGTTTCTTTGCAGAGGTGTGGGATTGTGGATGTAGAGGATGGAATATAATTTCAGACTTTTTCAATCTCTTGTTGGTTAATCTTTTTCTTCCTCTTTTTTTAAAATTCCATCTTATAAAGGATACCTCTATGTAAGGAGGAGGCAAAGGAGTCTACACTGGGAAATGCAAGTGATATAGAAACAAAAATTATCAATACTTTTTTATTTTAAAATTTAAAAAAATAGTAAGTTCAAGTAGCTTTGTCCCCACAAAAATTGAACTCCAGGTAAAGTTCTCCCTGGTGTGGCCTTGGATTGTACCCTCCCTTAAACCCCATATCATTTCTACTGCTTGCCTCTGACAGGAAAAGGGGTATATCTTTGGAGGAGGGGTTTGAACCGAAGTTCATGTTTTCCTAACTTCAAAGCCAGCCCTCCATCTCCTACACCATACTCCCTCTCTGTTCCTCAGATACAACATGGATTTATTCATACTCGAATTACTTAACCTGCAGGACTTTTGCAAACTTTGAAGTGTTAAGGAAACATAAGTTAATAGGTGGTGGAGTAGGACTCTAGGTAGTGCAGTGGATAGAGCACCAGGACTGGACTCAGGAAGACATGAGTTCAAATCTGGCCTCGCTAGTTATGTGACCCTGGGCATGTCACTTAACCTTGTTTGCCTCAGTTCCTCACCTGTAAAATGAGCTGGAGAAAGGAATGGCAAGCCAGTCGAGTATCTTTGTCCCAAATGGGGTTGTGAAGAGTTGGACATGACTAAAATGACTGAATAACAACAAAATAAAGGAGTGGGACTGGACCTTTGGGGACATTGGTTTTAACCTTATCCTCTCATTTTAAAGTTGAAGAAACTGAGCCCCAGAGAAGTGAAATGACTTCTAAGTTATTTAACTGTTAAAAAGGAAGGTGGAGATTCAAACTCAGGTTGTCTGATTTTATATCCAATTCTCCTTTCACTATACCAGACTTGTTATTCTCCTACTACCTATTCTGATCCATAATGAATTTTCCTAAAACTGGCTCAGAAGGATAGGATCTTGGCAAGTTTCCAAATGGATTGTAGCATAAGGAAATTTTTCTCCTCAACATGTTTCCTAATGGTTTGGGGTGGGACTGAGAACTCCTTCAGTTAGGGTCAGCATTGAATTTCATGTTTCAGACCCCAAACCTGGGTGGCCCTGTCTAAGAGACCAAGAAGGGTTGATGTGTTAACATTTATGGGAACAGCATTCTGATGAGTTAAGGTGCTCAGCCTGGTCCTGCCTAGGAATGGGTGGGAGAAGTCTAGAGTGAAGACAAAAGTAGTGATGGATAAGATGATCTCTCACATTGTAATTCCCTGGCAATGCATATGGGAAAAGCTGGTATATGTCCAAGAACTCCAAGCATTCACACGCCAACAGTCAAAGCAAGACCATTTTGTTCTCTCAGAAGTCAGTCTGAATTCTACTCTCACAGAGCTTTATCTACTCTACAATGTAATTATGTGTCCCTGCCAGGACTTTTTAATTTTGCCATGAAAATTAGAGGTCAAGGGAGTGTGATGCTTTATCATCACCTTCTCACAGATCTGGAGAAGTCAACTTAGCTGACACTCCATCACTCATGGTGCAAAAAGGCTCCAGGGAAAAAGCATTTTCTTATGCTGAGCTTATCTTGAGGACCCTTTTCCTATTTGGACTCTAGACCCCCTAAGTTTTCATCACGTCTACTTCTACTGTACATCCCCTTGTTGGCATTAAATAGACTTGGTTTACTCTGATTAATAGCTAGGTATTGTCTCGACCACTGTAACTAATCAGTGATTCAACATATGTTGCTCCTGGGAAGCTAATGAATGCAATCTTCATGGAGAGCTACTGGGATCTTTGGATGAAGAGGCATAAGAGGCTACATCATAAATCAGCAGTTCACATTTTTAACACCCTAGAATCAGAGAATCATAACTCTAGAGATGAAAGGACACTGGATCTCATTTAGTCCAACTTGCTCTTTTTATAGCTGAGGAAACTGAGTCACTGAGGGGTCATGACTTGTCCAAGATCATGCAGGTAGTGAATGGCAGAGCTGGGATTTGGACCCAAGCCCTCTGTCTTAATTCAGTATGCTTTCTTCTGTACCACTTTGCCTTAAATTACTTTGGAAAAACTAATTTGTCAATGTGTACCAGATGGAGCAGAGAAAGGGGGACAAGATGGGCTAGGACATCACCTAGGAAAATATTGTAGCTGATGAGTTGAGAGGTAATAAGACCTGCACTATGAGAAGTAGCAGTGGGAACCAAGAAGAGGGTATGGATGAGAGAGATATTGGGAAGGCAAATGAGATTTCTCCCAAAGCTAAGCTTCTCCTTAGAAGTGAGTGAGGCACTTTGGGAAACTGTATTCCTTTCTGCTTTGCCAGCAGGGTAGTGCTTTTCCACTATATGCTACTGTTTGAAGGTGAAGCTTACCTTTGGTGGGGACCTTGCTTTGAGGTATTCCAGGGATGGATTGGTTATATTCTCTTGCCCTCTTGGTGAGAGGTGAGATGGGGCCCACCTCGTGCTAGTCCATTGAGCTATGCTTATGGGACCCAACCCCAGGATTCCTTCAGTAAATTATAACAGCAAACACATATAACATTTCAAAGTCTGCAAAGCACTTGACAAATATTGTTATGTAACTCTCACAACAAACCTGGGAGGTAGGTGCTATTCTTATCCCCAAATTACAGATGAGGAAACTGAGGCATAGAGGGATTAAGTGACTGGCCCAGGGCCATCAGTACTGTACTTGAGACAGGATTTGAATTCAGGTCTTCCTGATTCCAGGCCCAGTGCTCTAACTACCGTATCACCTAGCTGCTCTAGTAGTTTAGTCATCCTCATTAAGCTTCCCTAGACTGAGTGGGTTTCTACTCTTCTAGGCCATTTGGGCATCTCATTTTCAGAAATAGAAACTGAGGCTCAGAAAGGTATATGACTTGTGTAAGAATACACTATGCATGAGTAACCGTGTTGGGACCAGACCCTAGGTCTCCTGACTCTCAATCTTGGCTACAACAGTCTGCTGGCTCCCAGTGAGTTCAGAAAGATTCTTCAGCTTTTTGGAAGAATCATCATTTCTGAATGTTAATTTTACCCCGTTCTGGGAATTTCTTGGCCAGAGACTAAGAATGAACTATATATCTAGATTTTTCATCTCCAGTAGGGACCACTTACCTCTGTTTGCACTAGATTGACCCTTTGGGATCGGAGCTCTCGCACACAATTGAATATGTCCACCACGCCTTCATTTTCTGCCATGTCAAGCATGATATCAATGGCGATGAAACAACCTGTCCTCCCTGCTCCAGCACTGGAAGAAAAGATGCATTTGGCATTACTAGACATCACAGAACACAAGCTCCTTGAGGGCAGGGTCATTTGAATCTTCATATGTCTAGTGCCTAGCACAGTGTCTGGTCTCGTAGGCATTTAGTAAATGCTCATTGATGAGTTAATTAATTGTACACTGAGCCTTCTGGCTACAATAGCACAAGTGCAGAACTACTTGTATAGTATTCAAATAAGAGAAAAATGGAGAGAAAGATGGAAAGAGAGAAGAGAGAAAGAACAGTAGAGAAAGAGGGGAGAAAGAATGAGGGATGGATATGGACAGAGAAGGATGGAACAAAAGCCAGTTATGTTTGATGACAGAAGGAAGGTATTCCATGGTAGCCAGACTTTGGCCCCCATCCCTTCCATTGTTTGTTAGTGACCTTGAAAAAGTACACCTCATTTTCTATCAGTAAAATGCCAATGCTAAATGGTCAGAGAATCTTAGCCAAGATGCTTAGCCAGAAACAGGATAAGTTTAACCTAGTCTTTCTGACACTCAGTATACAAGCCAAGTGAGTGCTAAACACAAAATGTCAGAGTCTAAGTGACACCCTACTGCCCACAATAGGGACTTCTCAGACCTAAGTGTGATTTTAAAGAACATTATGTTGATGAGTTAATTGCACTGAACTATGGATACAAGGAACCCATTTCCCACAAGTCAATGTGGTTATAAACATGAAAGGCATCTGGACAGCAGGGGAGAAGGTTAAGTATATTTTCATGTTAGCTAAATTTTGGTCCACATATCACTTGCTTCTCTTAGGAAAACAGCTCCCATCTACAGTGTGAAAATGAATAAACACAGAAAGGATGGGTAAAGAAAAGAGAAGAAATATAAGCTGGTCATAAAGCCAAGGAGTATAAAAATCCAGAAATACTGCCCAATGGGGACATTTCAATGATCTTGAACCAATAGAATTTTGTCAAAAACCAACATACAGAAAATATATTTTTCATTTGCTGTGAAACTTCATTGTTGGAAATGAGTGGGATTGGGCCTGTCTCTTCTGCAATATGGGAAGCCCACCCTCCCATGGGGGCTCACTGAGTTGTAGCTTACCTACCAGGGAGGAAGAACCATCTAGTTCTTCCCATGAGTCTCCTCAAAACACTCTACAACTATTTACTTAGAACTGAAAAATATGGTGTGGTGGCTGAGGTAACATCTTCAAAGCTATGTGAAGGAGGATGTTAGTATTACTATCCACATCTTTTAGAAAGGCAGAAGGAAAATCTATCTCAAACAAAGTCTTTGTTAATGACACATGTACTAAATAGTCCCCATTACAGATGTACCAATTGTGAGAGAAGAGAAAAAAACAAACAAAAAACCAAACAAACCAGGCACCCGGAATTGGTTGAGTCAACAAGTACAGGTGAGACAGGTGATTACAAATAACTCAGATTTATGTGACACTTTAAATTTTGCAAAGGGACTTTTCTTCACAACCCTGAGAGATGAAGAAATGAATGTTCAGAGAAGGTAAGGATTTGCCCAAGGTCACAAAGTTAGGAAGTTCCGTAGGCAGAATTCAAACTCAGGTCTACTGTCTCCAGGTCCAGCACGTGTTTAACACCAGCTCTCTGAAAACCATGTATTCATGACATACTTTTAAGTTTAATCTGCATTATCCACATTTTCTCCACACTTTCTTAAGTCTAGACAGTCAACAAAATGCTAACTCAAGCTCTGATTTATAGCATTTGCTAATTTCTGAGGTGTAAAAGCTTACACTGAAAGTTGAGCAATCAGCTTGAGAGCTGGTATGAACTGGCCCCAGCACATTCTTGACTTAGTGCCTGAGATGTCACCTTGGGAGGACAGAGAACCCTAAGTGGGGTAATCTTAGTGCCTCCATTTAGCTATGAGGAACAGGAAGGATTAGGGGATCTAGCCTAGGTTGTTTAAAGGTTGGTTAGGTTGTTTAAAGAAGCAGCTGGGTATGAATCATGAGCCCCTAGATTAGGGGCCTGAACATGTATCCTTAAAGTTCTCTCTGTCCTCTCTTCCAAGAAACTATACCCAGGGAAGGAAGTGCTACGTTAGGTATTATCCTAATTTATCTGATCGAGTTTTGTGCAAAGAGAAGGTATGGTATAGAACAAAGAACACTAGATCAGGAGATGGGATTCCAGTCCTGGTTCCACCACTAACTTGGTGTGTGACTGGGGAAAGGTTTAAGCTTCCCTTCTCTGGGCCTCAACTTCCTTACCTGCAAAATAAGGTGACTTGACTAAATGATGTCTAAAGTAATTTCAAGCTCAGATATTCTATGACTATAACTTTGGATTGGTCCAAAAACTCTTCTCCTCTTTGCTTGACTGGTGTGGACATAACTGGGAAATGCTGAGATATTTTAGTCTCTGTAGGGGTGATTCTCAGGTTTTCAGATCGTAACCAGATCATTCTGAAGCACAGGCAACATCATCTATTAAGTACCTACTATGTGCCAGGCAAATAGTAAAGCATGAGGATACAAAAAAAGGCAAGAGACAATCCGAACTCTCAAGGAGTTCCAGGTATAAGAGGGGAGACAATATGCAAACAAGTGTGTACAAATAAGAAATATACAGGATAATTGGGGAGAGTTTTAGAGAGAAAGCAATAAGATTAAGGAAGACTTGGAAAAGCTACTTGCAGAAGGCAGAATTTTATCTGAGACTTGCAGTGAGCCAGGAAACAAAAGCAAGGAGGGACAGAGGCATGAGGGACAACCAGTGAGAATGATGAGAGACGGAATCTCCTGGGTGAGGAACAGCAAGCGGGCTGGTGTCACTAGATTGCAGAATACAGGGTGGGGTGAAGTAAGGAGGAAGATCAGTAAATTGTAACTGAGGAGTCTGTGCTTTAGGCTTACATTTTAGGCTTACCCTCTAGTGATCAAATGGACCAACATATATCAAGCTAAGAAGATGCCAAGTAAACATCACTTAGAGCTCCAAAAATTGGCTGAAGGTAGGGGTTCTCAGCCTTTGTGGGAGTCATGAATGCCTTTGACAATCTGGTGAAATTTACGAACTTCTCAGAATAAATTTTTTGGAGGCCGTTGGGGTTAAGTGACTTGCCCAGAGTCACACAGCTAGTAAATGTCTGAGACCAGATTTGAACTCAGGTCCTCCTGACTCCAGGACCAGTGCTCTATTCACTGTGCCACCTGGCTGCCCTCTCAATAAAGTTTTTAAATGTATAAAATGAAATATAAAGGATTACAAAAGAAACCCAAAGCTAGTGAAATAAAGATGTATTTTTTTCCTTCTCAAATTCACAGATTCCATGAAATCTTTCAGTGGACCCTCAGGGGTCTGTGGAACCCATACTGCCAACCTCTTTCTTAAGGGAAGGCTTGCTATGTCTTTTCTATGTGATCTCCCTGAAAGGAGAACAGAAGAAAGGCAGTGTATACCATAGCATCATAGTACCTGAGAGTTGGAAGGGGCTTGGATGCCATAGTCTGACACTAGTACAGAAGAGCTTGTAGAAAGTTAGTGCTGGAGGGACATTATTATATGTAGACCTTCTAGTCCAATCTCCTCATTTAAAGAGAGGAAACTCAACCCTAGAAAGAGGAGGTGACTTGCTCAAGGTCAAAGAGCTAGGTAGTGGCAGGGCTGGTACTTCTGATACCCAGTTCAGTCAGTATTCTCTGAAGAGAGAAGGAAAGTAACAAGCATTTATTAAGAGTCTATTGTATGCCAGGTGCTGTGCTAAGCACTTTACTGACATCATCTCATTAGATCCTCACAACAACCCTGGGAGGTAGGTACTATTAATACCCCCATTTTACAGATGAGGAAACTGAGGCAGACAGAGGTTAACAGTGCTAAAAAATGTCTGAGGCCAGATTTGATCTTGGGTCTTCCTGACTCCAGGACCAGAGTTCTATTACCATGCTACCTAGCTCTCCCTTAATCAGTGGAAAAGGAGACAAAGAAGGCAGGTGAGAAGCCAGTCAACTGCCTGAGCACATACCTGCAGTGGACCACTATGGGCCCTGCCTCGGGAGGGTTGAGGAATTTCACCTGCCGGACAAAGCCCAGTAGACCTGTGGCATAGCACGGAACCCCATGGTCAGGCCAGCTGGTGAAATGGAACAGCCGGATTTCACGGATCTCATGGTAGCCTTTCTGAGGAGAAAACACAACCTGTGTCTTCTTTCATTCACCACAAGACACATCGTTGTTCCCTCCCTTCCCCCTTCTAGCTGCTCCTGCCAAGAGACTATGATGGAAAATCCACTGGTCAGGTCAGAGCTGACTCTAAAAAATGACAATAATAACAATAAAATTAATAATAATGATGATGATAAAACAACAAACATTTATATAGCACTATGTGTCAGGCACTGTGCTAAGCATTTTACAGTTATTTCATTTGAGCCTCACAACAACCCCGGGAGGTAGGTGCTAATAGTATTTCCATTTGACAGATGAGGAAACTGAGGCAGACAGAAGTGACTTGCCCAGGGTCACACAGTCAGTAAGTATATGAAGCCAGATTTGAACTCAGGCCTTCCTGACTCCAGGCCTGGCACTCTATCCACTGCACCACCTAGCTGTCTCACTTCATGTTTTCTTAGCGAATGTCTTCAGAGGATGAACTAACCACTACTTCAGAAGCTGTAATACTAATTGTTATTATAGTTGCCCATATTTATGTTGAACTTTAGAGTTTACAAAATGCTTCCTTTATTACAGCCTTACTAAATGGACAGATTTACATACAGCCAGTACTATCTCTAATTTATAAAGGATGAAACTGAGGCAGAATGAAAGGTTAAGTGACTTGTCCAAGAATATAAAAGCAGTTAATATAATAGAATATAAAAGGCAGGATTCAAGCTCAGATCACTTGATTCCAAAATCTGGCATTCTCTAATTCATCCTTCCATCCTATAAGCATATAAGTGCCTATTTTTGCCAGGTACTATTCTAGGAGTTTACCTTCTATTGGGGAAAAACATGTGCACAGATTAATAAACATTAAAAACATGCAAGTAAACACAAAACAAAGAGGAACAGCACACACATATACATACACATATATACATATATACATACACACACATATATATACATGCACACATATGTATGTTTTTGGACATGGCTAATACAGAAATTTGTTTTGCTTGATTATACATATTTGTAATGGGTTTTTGTTTTTCTTGCTCTTTACAATGGGGGAGGGGAAAGTGGGAGGGAAAGTATTAGAGCTGAAAATAAAATGAAATTGAGAAAATAAAAATAAAATAAATGTCAAAATCATTAGAATGACAACAAAAAGAAAAATAACAAGATTCAAAAGATCCAATTATTTTCCTGAGACCCACAAATAATAAAGCACCAGCAAGGAAGGACTTCGAAATTCTCAGTCATCTGCCTGAGTCACAACCACCCACAGAATGAGGATTTTCAGCCCCAGCTCAACTCCCAGAATCCCAGAAACCTCAGGTTTGGAAAGAACCTTAAAAGTCATTGATTCCAATCTCTACCTAGAGTGAGAATCTCCTCTTTGTCATCTTTGACATGTGGTTGTCTGACTTTCCCTTAAAGACCCTCTGTGATAGAGAATACACTGCTCCCAAGGCAGCCCATTCTGCTGCTGGACAGCTCTAATGGTTATAAAGATTTTTCTTCCATTAAGTCAAAATCTTCCTTTCTGCAGCTTCTACCTAGTGCTCCTAGTTCTGCTCTCTGGGACCACATGTAGAAAGGCTAATTTCTTCTTCTATGTGACAGTTCCTTTGTTTACAACAATTAGGTTCCCCCCAATTCTACTCTTTTCTAGGTGAAGCATTTCCATTTTCTTTAACTGATCCTGCTTTGACATGGTTTCCAGTCCTCTCCCTCCCCATTACCCTTATCTTGATGTCTTAGCTTGTCAATGCTCTTCCTATGGTGTGGTGCTCAGGACTGAATATTGGGGCTGATGAGGGCAGAGAATAGCTGGTCTGTCATTCCCTTGTGTTAGCCCAGGACTTCTTAACTCTGTGTGTGTGTGTGTGTGTGTGTGTGTGTACCATGGACTGACCCTGCTGGCAGTTTGGTGAAACCTATGGACCCCCTCTCTGAATAATGTTTTTAAGTGCACAAATAAAATATACAGGATTATAAAGGAAAACAATTATAATGAAATACAAAATATCAAATTATTAAAGGAAAAAAAACCAAGTTCATGAATCCCAGGTTAACAGCCTCTGCTCTAGGGTCCTCATAGACTTCATGCAGCCCAAGGTAACATTGTTGTTCCGTTGTTACAGACACTTCATGACCCCATTTAGGGTTTTCTTTGCAGAGATACTGCAGTCATTTGCCATTTCCTTCTCCAGCTCATTTTACAGATGAGGAAACTGGGGCAAACAGGGTTAAGTGACTTGCTCAGGGTCACACAGCTACGAAGCGTCTGAGACTGGATTTGAACTCAGGTCTTCCTGACTCCAGGCCCAGGGCTCTATCTACTGTGCCAACTAGCTGCCCCCACCAAGGTATTAAGTTTTGCTATCATGTCATGGGTGACTGATGTTGAGCTTGCAATCTATTCAGCAGTTGGTGGTTAGTACCCCCAGACAACTTGCTATTCAGGGATCCTGCTATACGTCTTGACACTTCACCTCATCACCCTCTCCCCCATCTCCTCCCAGGGAAAGCACTTTATGCACAAGACCTCTAGGATATGACTTTCAGGAATCACTCCCCTGCCTGCAGCTCCCTGCTAGAGCTAATACACTTAGCTTTGGAACTTTGCACCCTGGTGCTGAGATGTTCTGACTAGTGAGTAAGCAAGTGCAAACTTAAGCGTAGTATAGCTAGCCAGGCATAGACCATGCTTTCCATCCATCCACACCAGACATCTTGCCATCTGCTCTCCTATAGGAGGACAGCTTCCCCCAATTCTATCTCTTACTCTGAGAACAGTAATCAAATTACTACTGCTATTATTTCTGGATAACATATAAGGTCACCTGCCCAATTGTTCCACTCACCACTTCCCTGATTCTCAGAAATCAAAACTCCCTCCTGGTAACTACATATAAGGATGTGTATTATTTCCCCATTGGAATGTTAGCTACTGGAGGACAGGCATTGCCTTGCTTGTGTGTTCCCAGCCACTAGCACAGTGCTTGCTTGGCACATAAGAGGCACTTAAGAAATGTTTTTTTCATTCATTCCTTCATCCATCTTTCCATTCCCTCCTCTTTGATCCTGCCCCTGTCTTTCTCTCTATTTGAAATGTTCTCCCTTCTTAGGAGAGAGACCACCTTTCCCCCAATCATTATTGTCTTCTTCACAGTTCACAATGGCCCTTTCCTTTTTAACTCAGGCAAGATAAATTTCCAAGTCCAAATGCTAAAGTCAGACAGTTTAGATGAAGCTTACAGCAAAGACAAAATGAAGTCACATGGAGCTATATCAACACACATACACACACACATACAGTGAAATATACACATATTCAGCAAACTGGTCTTGCTCAGATGCATATAGAGGAGTAAAAAGAAATAGATGGGGAGATGGGAAGAAGTAGCTTGTTTCCATAGCTAAAAATCATACATTTCTCCCTGTTCCCATCTTATGTATTTTGGCAAGTTCTCTCATTTCCCAAATGAAGCTTCATGATTAACATCCAAAGGATAGGCTTACCTTTTGAACGGTAAATGTGCGTATGACATACTCAGCTAGCGGCTCTGTTTCAATTAATGAGACTTTAATATCTCCATAAACTTCTGTGTCATCTGGCCAATACCTAACACACTTCACCTGCAGCAAAAGGAGAGAGAATAGAAAGTAGGAAGGGTAGAACTCAGCTTGTGGAAATGAGAACCAACCTTACCATGAGCTTTCATTTTTTATAAACACAAGTGGGACTTAATAGGGATTTCAAGCTAAATGTACCTAGCTGACCTGGGTCAGTGGGTGGCCGCCATGCTATGTGTGTCAGAAATGGTGTAACATAGATTCAAAGACATGAAAGGTTGAAAAAAGAGGCAGAGAATGAAGGGTAACACACAGACAGCCCGAGGGCTTCATGAGAACCCAGGTCAGAGTAAAAGAGCCAGAAGAAGGCCTTCAACACATTGGGAGGAAAATGAGATAATGAATCCATTCAAATATAGGAGGATGTCAATGTCAATGCCTTGGTTGGGCTGCCACCATGCCGGGCATGGCCAAGTTAACTCTACTGCCTAGAGGCAATGGAACAGTGTGAAACTTCAGTCAGTTTAAACAAGGTAAGTGCTATCACAGCAGTGCTAAAAAAGTTAAGAGTGGAAAGTGGAGGAAAATGGTTATGAGACTAGGAAGGTAAAATGATGGGGTGAAGAAGGCAGAGGCCCAGAGGGATGAGCTAGAGGTTGACATTAGGGTCTGGGAGGAGAAAGAATCTCAGACCCCCAAAGGTGAGCATACTGGGACCCAGTGGTATGGGGAGGGTGCTTCACTTCTTATGTAGGTATATTTTCTATAGGACTCACTTTTTGTAACATCCCTCTAAGGGCAGCTAACTTTTCATGAAGAAGATGGAGACCAAGAATGGAGTTTTACTTTCCTCAGATTTTTGTGGCTACTGGAGAAATCATTATCTGAACAGCTTACCCTTCCCACTTCCACGAGATTTGTCACCATCACGACACTGGCTGAATTCTCCTGCCAAATCATCCTCCAAAAGTCCTTGACAGTTTCTTGCATTGGACCTACCAAGGAAGAAAAAAAAAACATTAGAGCCTCAGGACCTCCAGGTGCAAGACAGCAGTTGGCCCCTTGTTCACGGTGCCTTAAGGTAGGACAGAGGACCAAGGAAAAGCCTGGCAAACAAAGATGATAATGGAGCTCAGGGTCTGTGTGCCCAAGTAGAAGGGTTGAACTCCTGACTGGGCTTGGCTGATAAGTTGCAGGGAGAGCCTGAGAAAGTCACCGAAGATTCAATTCTTATTTTGTACATCCATTATAGGAGAGGGCGAGGCATCCAGCTCCACAGTTACAGTTGGAGTTATCCCTATAGTACAGCAAATTGTCTTTTTATTCATGAGTGAGCATCTGTCAATATGTACGAAACACTGTCCTAGGCACTGGAGTTACAAAGAGACATCAAAAATAGTCCCAGCCTTCAAGAAGCTTACATTCTGAGGTGTGGGTGTCAAAGTGTGGTAGGAAAACAGCCTTTACACAGACCATAAAATCATCTATTTTGAGCTGGAAGGAATCTTCCAGGCCATTGAATCTAATCTCCTTATCTTCCAGATGAGGAAAATAAGGTACAGAGAGGTCAAGAGATTTGTCCAAGGTCATAGAGTTAGTAAGATTCAAATTCGTCTTCCTGACTAAATCCAGCAGTCTATCTGCTACAATACTGAGCTACTTCAACATTTCCATCCCTTCTTGAGCAGTGACTGAGGGAGATCTTGGGTGAGAAAGAAAATAGTTTTGGGTCACTGAAGCTTAAAAGAGGATCTGATGTTTTAATACATACAAATAGACCATACATGATTTACAGTCAAGGACTGGCTTTGAATTCCACCTTAGACACTTTTTGGCCTTGAGAGAGTCACTTAACCTCTTGAAACCTCAGTTTCCCCATTTATTAAGTGCGTATAAAAATAATACGTACCTCACAGTGTTGCTATTGTGATCAAATGAGATAATGTATGGAAAAGGCTTTGCAAACAGTTAAGTACCATGAAAAAAATGTCAGCTATTATTATTATGCATATACCTTGGGCTGTCCTTTTCTAAAAATCCCTCAGCCTTTGTCAAGGTAGCTTTGACATCCACCATAAGCTGATCTCATAGCTCACATTTCCAAAGCCCTTTCTTTTTTCAAAAAGAGCTCGGTGAGGTTGGTTGTGCAGCGTTGTTGTTCCCAACAAGTTGAAGTTGCTGGAGTGCCAAGGTCACATGGTTAGAGGGTGGCAGAGCCAAGATATTACAGTTTGGAGTTGGAAGGGTACTGGCACTAGAGTTAGAGGATCTGGCTTCCCACCCTACCTATGATGCTTTCTATCTGTGCAGTAAGCAAGTCACCTACCCCTTCTGGGTCTCAGTTTCCTCATTTGTAAAATGAGGGGGCGTTGCACTAATGGACTATTCCAGAGGTCCCTTCCAGATCCAGGTCTATGACCTTCATTTCAAAAAGGGAATAAGTGAAAAGAACCAGGATCCAAACTCTGGTCTCCTTACTGTGCTCCACAAATCTGCTAATTCTTCCCAGGTTTCCTGACTCATTCTACTTTATATAGGCTTGGTGCAAATATGTCATGCATTTTCTTACTTGCCTAGACAGGATATGTCTGTGTGCCCTTAGGGGCAGGCGGAAAAAGGCACAGCACGATTTGCTCCAAAATTCTGGGCCACCTTAGAGATGGCCCTTTACCCAGGGGAATCTGTCAGCTCTGACATGCACAGCTGTCTTGACAACTGTGACCAGGATGGCAATCACAGATCTCAGTCCTTGTGTGCTCATGTGCAAAGCAGTCCATGAAACAATTGACTAAGAAATGCTGAAGCGGCCCTGCTTCCTGTCAGAGTATTTGGTTTTGAACCTGATCCCCCAAAGAGCTCTCTAGAATATTCTCAGGGAACTGGGACTTATTAACATTTGCTTGTGATGTTGCTTTGTTGCTCCGTTGACCTTGGTTACTCCTTGACCATCAGAGAATCATAGAATTGTGGAAAGTTGGATGTCAAAGGGGCCTTAGAAACCACCTGGAGCAGTAGTCTCCCAAATTTTTGGTCAATAAAACATTTTTACCACCTCCAGTATATGTAAAAAGTTATGTACGTGCTATAACCTGTATCAAATTGCTTGCCTTCTCAATGAAGGCAATGACGGGAGGAAGGGAAATGGAGAATTTGGAACTCAACAATTTTAAAAAACAAATGTTAAACATTTTTTTTATATGTAATGGAGAAAAAAGTAAAATATTAAATTAAAAAATAAAAATAAAGTTATATATATGAACTACTATACTTATAATTATGTGCATTATAAAATTTATTCAAAAATAGAAATTTAAAAAAGGTATGGGATAAAGATGAAATAATAATTGATTCTAGAGACAATGAGGAGTCACTGGAGTTTGCTGAGTGTCAGAGTGACATGGTCAGATCTGTGCTTTAGAAAAATCACTTTGGTAGCTGTGTGGAATGGATTGGAGAGGAAAGGAGCTAAAAGCCATTAGGAGGCCATTGAGATAGTCCAGATGCGAGGGCATGAAACTTGAACCAGGGTAGGGGCTGGGTGAGTGAAGAGGAGGGGGCAGGTGAGAGATATCTGGATGTAGAAATGAGTTTGGGCAATGGAATGAACACCTGGGGTGAGGGACAGGGAGGAGTTGAAGATGATACCAAGATTGCGGACCTGGGTTATTGGAACAATGGTGGTGTCCTCCCTAATAACGGGGAAGTTTGGGAAAGAGGTAGGTTTGGGAGGAGAGAGAACACAATTTTCCTGTTACTGTTGTCAACCAGACTGGAACCAGCCTCTAACCTGTGGGTGGCCAGAGCCAAACAAACAGAGCAGGCTAGAGACAGGAGTCAGGACACAAAACAGTTCAATTAATTTCAGAGTGAGAAAAATGATGTTTGCATTTGGAAACCCCACCCCCTAAGAAGGAGGGCTTAAGGCTGCTAAGGTTGGGGCCACTTATATACATGAAAGGGGTTGGCCCACAACCCCCATAACACAATCATTCTTAGAGCCTGAGATAGTTCTCATGGTTAGCATTTCTTGGAATAATACAGATGTTTTTGGGTCCCATGGGAAGTCATTGTCTCAAGTCTTGGAGGTCGTGCCCAACCTGTAGGGCATAGAACCAGAGTTCTGGGACTGGAACAGGAATGCAGTACCTGTCAGTGACAAGAAACAGGGATTGTGAATACATGATGAATGGCCCTGGGAAACAGGGGGAGTTAAATCCCTCAGTGAACATCTGGTGCTGGTCCAAGCAATACACTTTGCCAGAGAGTGGTATCATACTGAGTACAAAGGATTATTGTTATGCCAAGCTCAGGACACAGCCTGCTTGCTGGGCCTTGACCCTGGGAAACAGGGTATCTTCAAAATATTTTGACACTGTTGAGGGCATTACTATTCTTCCAGTGACCCAAAATCACATCCTAGGTGTCATTATCATATTCTACACATGGATCCTTTACTGTAGAAGCTGCTAAATCCTGTGTAATCGTAACTATGACTCCTTGATATTTGAATTGTTTCTTTCTGGCTCCTTGCAGTATTTTTTCCTTGATCTGAGAGTTCTGGAATTTGGTTATAATATTCCTGGGAGTTTTTATTTTGAGATTTCTTTCAGGAAATGATTGGTGGATTCTTTCAATTTGTATTTTACTCTCTGGTCTAGAATATCAGAGCAATTTTCCTTGATAATTTCTTGAAAGATTCTGTCCAGGCTCTTTTTTTGATCATGACTCTCAGGTAAATCCAATAATTCTCAAATTACCTCTCCTGGATCTATTTTCCAGGTCAGTTGTTTTTCCAATGTGGTATTTTACATTTTCTTCTATTTTTTCATTCTTTTGATTTTGTTTGATTGATTCTTGATGTCTCATGGAATTATTAACTTCTACTTGTCCAATTCTAATTTTTAAGGAATTATTTTCTTCAGTGGATTTTTGTATCTCCTTTTCCATTGGTCCAATTCTACTTTTCAAGGAGTTTTCTTTTTCCAAGCTGTTGACTCTTTTTTCATGATTCTCTTGCATAACTCTCATTTCTTTTCCCAATTTTTCTTCTACCTCTCTTATTTGATTTTTAAAATTCTTTTTGAGCTCTTCCATAAGGACTTTTTGGGCCTGATACCAATTCACATCTCTCTTTGAGGCTTCATATGCAGGCAGTTTGACATTGTTATCCTCTCTTGAGTTTGTGTTTTGGCCTTCCCTGTTGCCATAGTAGCTTTCTACAGTCAGGACTTTTTTGGCTCATTTTCCAGCCTATTCTATGACTTTTAAAGCTTTAAAGTTGAGCAATGTTCCTGGGGCACAGGGGGTTCTATCCCAAGCTCCTGGTGCCAGGGGCCAGGGAGCTGGTCACTGGCTTTCTGCAATGGGGCCTCCAGGGCCGGCAGCTAACCTGCTATACTGGTTTCACCCAGCCCAGTCTAGCCAGTTGTTCTAAGGCCTCTGGGCCTGCCAGGCCTGATCACTAGTCTGCTGCTTTGGGGTTGGAGGCCTCACAGCTGACCTGCTATGCCTGGCCTATTGAGCCAGCACCGAGGGGCCTTGGCTGCTGATCTGTGCTGTGGCTAAGAGAGTCCTGCTGGCTTGCCTGGAGACATCCTGTGCTGGGCTGCGCTCCCCTTTCACCCAAGTGAGTCAGACCTTTCCTGCAGTCCTACCAAGTTATCTTGGGCTGGAAAATTGTTTCATCTTGCCCTTTTGTGGGGCTTGCCACTCTAGAATTCATTTTGAGGTGTGATTTAAAGTTAGTTCAAGGGAAATTGGGGAGAGCTCAGGTGACTTCCTATCTTTTCTCCATCATCTTGGTTCTGCCTCTGCCCTAGGTGTCATTCTCAATTTCTTATTCTCTCTCATCCTTCATATCCAATCTGTTGATTGTACCTTTGTAACATCTCTGATATAGATTTCCTCCTTTTTTAGGACACTGCTGCCACCATGGGCCAGACCCCCATCACCTAATGCCTGAACTATTTTAATAGCCTGAAGTTTTCTCTTTCTATCTCAAGTCTTTCCTTATTCCAGTCCATCCTCTACTGGACTAATCTTCCCTAAGCTCAAGTCTGACCATATCACCTCTCCACCCCCTAACTGATAAATTCCAGTGGCTTCCTATTTCCTCTAGGATCAGATACAAAATACTGTTTGGCATTTAACAATCTTCATTACCTAGCCACATGTTAACTTCCTAGTATTCTTACATCTTGCATTCTTTCCCACATACTCTGCCATCCAATATTACTCGCCTCTTTTCTGTTCCTCAAACAAGACACTCAAGTTTTTGATTCTGTGCATTTTCACAGGCTGTCTTCCATGCTTGGAATTCTCTTCCTCCTCATCTCCATTTTCTGGCCTCCTTGGCTTCCTTCAAGTCCTAGCTAAAATCCCACTTCCTACAAGAAGCCTTTCCCAATCTCCCTTAATGCTCATGCCTTCACTTTGTTGATTATCTCCAATTTATCCCGTATTTATCTTGTTGATATGTAGTTGTTTGCATATTGTCTCTCCCATTAGACTACAAGTGCCCTGACAGTAGAGTCTGTTGTTGTTGTTTTTTTTTTTCTTTGAGTAACTAGTGTTTAGCACTGTGCCTGGCCCATAATAGGCATCGAGTAAATGCTTGTTGATTGATTCTGCAAAAGTAAAAGTAATAGGGGGAGGATTTTCCCAATTGATTCTGTTATACCTGCTGTGAGTATATTGGTAGAGATTTAATTACAACTGACCTAAGCAACCTACATCATACTCAAAAGCAGGGAGGATTGATAATTTGTAAATCTGAGAAAGTGAGCTGGGTAATGGAGTGTTGGAAGATGAGGTAGATGTGGTTATGTTGGAGACAAATCCCTTGATTGGTCATTACAGGCTTCCCACCTTTCTGATTGGTTGACCACACAATCCTTGAAGTCAGGCCACAGTGGAGGATGGGATATGCAGCCTCTACTTTGAAGACCTCTTATCTAGGCAAATCTCTTCATTTTTAAAGAGGAGGGAACTGAACGAAGTCCAGAGAGACAACACTAGTTTGTGGCAGAGCTTAGAGAGAAACCAGGACTTGTGGCTTCCTAGCCCATAGCCTTTTTCAGTATATCACTCTTTTACTTGTGCTCATGACTTTCAGCGTTTTTGGGGCTTTTTTTAAATTCTTTTCGGTGCCAATTTCTATTTCACACTCTTAAATTGCCCATGTTTTAGGTTCTTTATACTGAGCCTGTAGTTCAGAAAGAATCAAACCAATTTAGAGAACTTGAATCAGATTCAGAGCAAGAAGGGATCTTAATGGGTATCCAGCCCAACTACTTCATTTTATAGATGAGGAAACTGAGGCCAGAACAAGTTAAATGATTTGACCAAGGTCATACAAGTAGTAGTAAATGGCAGAGTCAGGTTTTGGACTCAATTCCTTTGACTGAAGAGCCAGGCTACTGCAATAGTTTAGGCATGTTTCCATGGTAATTTACTGCTGGCTACTAAGCTCATTCTTAGCTTGGATGCAACAAGCCAGGCTTCAAAGCATGCTAAGCCTAGAGGTACAGGTGTGGTGTATCAACAATAATTACCCTTTTTTTAATGAACACTCTTCACATTCAACACCATTCTTTATCCCTCATCCTTTATCTGAAATACTTCTGTCAGACTTCCCATCAGCTTCGCATTCCCTATCACCACAATGAGCTGCAAAGGTGATGTTGAATTTATGGTGTTTGGGGATACTGTTGTCTAATCTCTGCCACAAAGTCAGGTCCTAGTGATCTCCCCATCCTCTCCTACTTTTACAGTTAACATAACTCCTGTACACTCCAAAAGTTGATGGCCGCTGAATGGTGGTGAGGTTCTGCATCCCATCATGAACGAAGTCATGTATAAGTCTTAATATAAGAGTTGCATAAGATAAAGATAAAACACATAGGGAGAGATATTCCCTATTTATTATGCTTGCAGCTGAGAGCATTTCTGCATCAACCTTCCCTGTAGATCACAGAAGGTTGGAACTGGGGGACCTTAGAGATCATCTCATCTAAACTTTTCATTTTACAGATTCAGAACTATAGCCCAGAGAGTGAAATGACTCTCTCATGGTCATGCAATTAATAAGTAGAATGGAAGGGTTTCTGATGCCTTGTTCACTGACTTCTCCATTACACCAAACCACTTGTGTGTGTCTGAACAGGTGTCTGAACAGTAGGGTGGACTAAATATCCTCTAGACTGCTGTGATAGGGCCTTGATCATTCCCCATCCATTGACCTCTACACAAGTGACTCCCAGATCTCTATATGCAGCTTTGGTCTCTCTCTTGAGCTCTACTCCTACCTTTGGTTTTGAGCCACTCCCAAAGGTCTGGTCCCATAGGCATCTTTCACTCCACATGTATAAAAGAGAATTGATTATCTTTCTTCTAAAACCTTCAGTACTTCCTAACTTCCCCATTTCTATTGAAGGTGCTACCATGCTTTTTAAAAATTTATTTATTTTTTTTATTTTTAGGCAATTGGGGTTAAATGACTGCCCAGGGTCACACAGCTAGTAAGTGTCAAGTGTCTGGTCTAGGCTGGATTTGAATTCAGGTCCTCCTGACTTCAGGGCTGGTGCTCTATCCACTGCACCACCTAGCTGCCCCTGCTACCATGCTTTTAAGACATACAGATTAATAATCTCAGTGTCAACCTTGACTACTCATTCGCTCTCATCCCCAGTATCTGGTAAACTTCTAAGTCTTGTAAATTCAACTTCCACAAACTCTCTAGCAACTGTCTTCTCCTGCCTGCTCACACAGTCACCATCCTTGTTCAGGCCTTCATCTCTGTTGTAGTAGCCTCCTGATTGACCTCCCTACTTCTGGTCTCCTGTCTAAGCCATCTTTTACACAACTGCTACAGTGACCTGCTAAAGATCAGGTCTAACCACATTCTCCTCTGCTCAAAAACCCCCAGGACCTCTGGGGCAAAATAGAAAGTCCTCTGTTTCCATTTAAATTCCTTCACAATCTGGTTCCAGCCTACCTATGCAGGTTTGTTATACCTCTCTGCTCTTCATGTGCCCTATAGGGCAGACAAACCAACCTACATACTGCTCCCCACACATGGTGCTCCACAGTTGCTTTGCCTAGGGTACCCCCATGCTTGGAATGTACTCCCTCTTCACTTAACACCTTTCCAAGTTCTTGGCTCCCTTTAGAGCCCAGTTCAAGTGCTACCTTCTACATGAGATCTTTCCTGAGTGATAGAAAGAGACATGACTAGGCAGAATGGGTAGATGAGAATTTGTGATCCCTCATCTCCCTCTTCTCCTACAGTCATTCAGATGGAGCTCTGCCCTCACAGACCTTTTGGTCACCAAAAGAAGGTGAGGAAGGAATATACTTACCTTGAGTGGCAATGTAATGACGAGGTCGGTGATATCCCTACATAAGAGAAGAAGGAGAAATAGTCAATGGATATCATCCAGAGTTGGAGGAAACAGTACATTCTCTGGCTTTGAACATCAGTCCAACTGCTCCTTCCAGGTGTGGCTACTGGCACAGACAGCTTTAGAAGCACATGTACATTGTTGCCTGGCCTAAGCTACTCAGAAGGGAAATAGAGAAGAGAAAATGCTGGCTGCTGCACACAGGTCATTGAATCAATAATAATATGAATTTATTCAGTGCTTTACAAAGTCTTTTTTTCATGACAAGAAGGCTGGTAGGGTGGGTATTAACTCCATTTGACAGCGGAGGAAATTGAGGGCTAGTAAGAATCCTATATTTCAAAGCTACAGAGGATGGCAGAAGTCATCTTACCAGAGTAGTGAACTCTTCTCCAACATCCCTGACAGACGGTCATGTAGAAGCTATAATCTCCTGAAGCAGCACATTCCATTTTTGGACACATCTAATTAATAGGATTTTTACCCCTTTTGTTTAGTCATTTACAGTCATGTCCAATGCTTTATGACCTCATATTTGGGGTTTTCTTGGCATAGCTACTAGAGTGGTTTGCCATTTCCTTCTCCAGATAATTTTATAAATGTAGAAATAGGGGCAAACAGGGTTAAGTGACTTGCCCAGAGTCACACAGCTAGTGTCCAAGGCAGGATTTGAACTCAGGTCTTCCTGACTCCAGGCACAGTACTCTACCTCTGTGCCACCTACCTGCCTCTTTCCCCCTTAGATTGAACTAAAATATACCTCTCTCCAGTACAGAGGTTAAATAACTTATCTTGGGTCATGCACCATTTTCAGAGGAGATATTTAATCCAAGAGTCCATTAGTCTTTATATTAAGTCACAAATCCCAAGTATTTACAGAACACCTACTATATGGCCAGCCTGTACCAGGCTTCATGGAGGAGAAAGAGATGTCTAGGAGTAAAGTATTAAAATAGTCATTAATGAGCCAACATCCACTTGAAGAGAGGCCTCTAAAAGAGTGTTTCAGAGACCTATCTTTGGCCTTTGGCTTTTCAACACTGTTGCTAATGACCTAGATAAAAGCTTAGATGTCATTCAAATTTCCAAATTGCATGAAGCTAGAAGGGATAATTAACATGAAGGTTGAAAGAGTCAGGATACAAAAGGGTTTCAACCAGTTAATATGAAGGGTTGTCAAATAAGATGTAACAGGAATAAATACAAAGTTCTATGTTTGGGTTCAAGTAATCAACTTCACAAGTACAAAATGGTGGATGTACACCCAAACAATAATTCATGTATAAAATGTGTGGGAGTTGTTGGAGATGTAGAAGAAATTATTCGTAAGGTACGATTTGGACTAGACAACCTCTGAGATTCCTTCTAGATATGAATTTCTGTGATTCTTCAATCTGTAAAATGGGGATAATATATATACCCTATCCATTTCACAGCATGATTGTGGCAAAAGTGCATTGATAACTGTTATAAATGCTAGGGAAATTGAAATTATTTTTATTAAGATGGGGGGAAGAGTTTGACTAAATTTTGAGCTAGTGAATCAAAAGAGGATTTTATGGTACAGTATCCTATGTTCTTCCCCCCACCCCACCCCAAATTTATTTCAGCCTGGAAAGACTTACATGAACTGATGCAAAGTGAAGTGAGCAGAACCAGGAGAACATTGTATAGAATAACAGCAATATTCTACAATGATTAACTGTGAATGACTTAGCTATTCTCAATAAGTTACAAAGGACTCATGATGGAAAATGCTATTTACATCCACAGAAAGAATTGGTGGAGTCTAAATGCAGATTGAAGCATACTATTTTCCACTTTATTTTTTCATGGTTTTTTTTTCTTTTGGTCTGTTTCTTCTTTCACAATGCAACTAATATGGAAATATGTTTTACATGATATGCATATATATACAACCTACATCAAACTGCTTACCATATTAGGGAAGGGGGAGGTGAGGGAGGGAAGGTGAAAATTTGGAATTCAAAATTAAAGAAAAAATAATGTCAAAAATTGTCTTTATATGTAATCAGGAAAATAAAATACTAGAGTAAAATTATTTCAAAAATTGATGTCTTTGGTTTTATATCACATTCATTTTCAAACATTGGACCTTCCCTCTCCCCTGTCCGTTTTGCCTTCCTTTGTAACAAACACTTAAAAGGAAAAAAAAATTCAACAAAACCAAATAATTTACTATGTATGATAGCATATGGCATATTTCCCACCTACAGGGTTTCAATTTTGTGATGACAGGAAGGGAGTTTATTTTCTCTACCCTTATTCAGGGGCAAACTTTGTCATTATTATTATTAAGTATTTAGTTTTGTTACATTATTCTTTCTATTTACATTGTTGTAGTCACTAAGTATACTGTTTTCTAGGTTCTATTTAATCTGCCCTGCGTCAGTTCATTTAAGTGTTCTTATGTTCATCTAAATTCTTCCTATTTGCCATATCTTATGGTGCAGTGATATTCTATCAGGCAGTTAGGTGGCGCAGTGAGTAGAGTGCTGGGCCTGGAGTCAGGATGAGTCCAAATTTGACTTCAGACACTTACTAGTTGTGTGACCCTGGGCAAGTTGCTTAACTTCATTTGCTTCAATTATTCATCTATAAAATGAGCTGGAAAAGAAATGGCAAACCATTCTAGTATCTTTGCCAAGAAAACTCCAAATGGGGTCATAAAGAGTCAGACATGACTGAAAAATGACTAAACAATAACAAAGAACAAATATTCTGTTACATTCATGTACCATAATTTGATTGCCTTTGTCCAATCGATAGGCACGTATGCCGTTTCTAGGTCTTGTTACCAAAAAAGAAAAAATGGTGCTACGAACATTTTAGCGCATGTAGGACATTGCTCTCTCTCTCTCTCTCTCTCTCTCTCTCTCTCTCTCTCTC